CCGGTGAATGGGTCAGCGGGATCGTAATTGATTGGCTCGGTGTGTGAGTATCACGGTTGGGAAATCAAAAGGCCAGATTCGTCACGGTTATCTCATGCGTTTCCTTTGTCGCAAATACGCGCGTGCGCAGGATGCTGCAGTACGAACACGGTCGCGACAGCAACAAATGGCTTTACAGTGGATCATATTTCTGGGAATATGCTAAGAAGGACATTTCGCGGCGTGAAAACGCCTATACTTTTGGCCTAGGTATTTTCGATTTCACATATGTACTCGTTCCGATAAATACCGAGTGAGTAGTCGTCGCGTCTAGCCGTAGCACCACATGTATTTCGGTAGTCTAACATCGGCGTTACTGATGTTAGACCTCATGTGTGCCTTAGGAGTTACTGGAGCCTGATCGTGATCGAGCGCATCCCGAGGCCCGACGACTCGATTCCCATGAACTGCGTGCTCTGGCACGCTGACTCGTACGGCACGCATGCCGGTGTCGATGCCCCGTTGCGAAGGTACTCTCTTTTTAAGGGCAGTCTGCTATTGTCACGTACAGAAGTTCGGGGTTACGATAGCATTGAATCTATGTCTCCCGGTGTGTAGGTACTTGCGAAACGAGGTGTTAAGATACTGTGCATGGATCAGTGAGTCGGACGCAGATGCATGGGCGGCGAGCATCCCACTAAGGCAGGTCACGGTGAGTGCTGTTGCCTTGTGTGTACGAGCTTTGAAACAATCGCATCTCCCTTTCCCTGCACGCAATTTCCACACCGAAACCCCACTCCCATCCCGGCCCTCACCACGCGCTCACGCACCCTGTGATTGTCCAGATACCCGTGCAGGCAAATGAGAACGACTGTGGTGTGTTCACGATGCGTGTGATGCACACGTTGGTCGAGGATGGTTTCCATAAACTACCGGCGTGTGAGCTTGTAGGGACGCCACTCCATTGGCGCCGTCAGTACCGTCACGATTTGAGGAAGTGGTCTGTGTATTTTCGGGCAAAAACAATGTTGGAGGTTGGAGGTGGGGCAGGCGGCGGTGATAAAGCTGGTAATGGGGCGGGTATCAAGCGAGAATGAGGCGGGAAGCATGGGGGAATGAGGCCCGAAGCAAGGGGGAATGGGGCCTGAAGCAAGGGAGAATGAGGCGGGTAGCAGTGAAGAATGGGGTGGGAAGCAAGGGGAAATGGGGTGGGTAGTAGGGGGGAATGAGGCCGGAAGCGAGGGGACATGAGGCGGGAAGCAGAGGGAATGAGGGGGGGTCGCAAGGGAGAATGAGGCGGGAAGCAAGGGGGACGCGGCTCTGAAGCAAGGGGGAATGAGGGAGGTAGCAAGGGAGTATGAGGCCCGAAGCAAGGGGGAATGAGGGAGGTAGCAAGTGAGTATGAGGCCCGAAGCAAGGGGGAATGAGGCCTGAAGCAAGGGGGAATGAGGGAGGTAGCAAGTGAGTATGAGGCCCAAAGCAAGGGGGAATGAGGCCTGAAGCAAGGGGGAATGGGGAGGGTAGCAAAGGAGAATGAGGAGGGTAGCAGTGAAGAATGGGGTGGGAAGCAAGGGGGAATGGGGTGGCTAGCAAAGGGGGATGAGGCCGGAAGCGAGGGGACATGAGGCGGGAAGCAAAGGGGAATGAGGGGGGTAGCAAGGGAGAATGAGGCGGGAAGCAAGGGGAATTGGGGCCTGAAGCAAGGGGGAATGAGGGGGGTAGCAAGGGAGTATGAGGCCCGAAGCAAGGGGGAATGAGGCCTGAAGCAAGGGAGAATGAGGCCTGAAGCAAGGGGGAATGGGGAGGGTATCAAGGGAGAATGAGGAGGGTAGCAGTGAAGAATGGGGTGGGAAGCAAGGGGGAATGGGGTGGGTAGCAGGGGGGAATGAGGCCAAAAGCGAGGGGACTAGAGGCGGGAAGCAGAGGGAATGAGGGGGGTAGCAAGGGAGAATGAGGCGGGAAGCAAGGGGGACGAGGAGCTGAAGCAAGGGGGAATGAGGGAGGTAGCAAGTGAGTATGAGGCCCGAAGCAAGGGGGAATGAGGCCTGAAGCAAGGGGGAATGGGGAGGGTATCAAGGGAGAATGAGGAGGGTAGAAGTGAAGAATGGGGTGGGAAGCAAGGGGGAATGGGGTGGCTAGCAAGGGGGGATGAGGCCAGAAGCGAGGGGACATGAGGCGGGAAGCAGAGGGAATGAGGGGGGTAGCAAGGGAGAATGAGGCGGGAAGCAAGGAGGACGCGGCTCTGAAGCAAGGGGGAATGAGGGAGGTAGCAAGTGAGTATGAGGCCCGAAGCAAGGGGGAATGAGGCCTGAAGCAAAGGGGAATGGGGAGGGTATCAAGGGAGAATGAGGAGGGTCACAGTGAAGAATGGGGTGGGAAGCAAGGGGGAATGGGGTGGGTAGCAAGGGGGGATGAGGCCGGAAGCGAGGGGACATGAGGCGGGAAGCAGAGGTAATGAGGCGGGAAGCAGGAGGGAGTGAGGCGGGTACATGGGAGGAATAAGTGTGTGAGTGAAGAACAAGGAAGCGGGTAGCATGGGGGAATGAGGACAAGATCAATACGGAATTGTTTGTTCATCCGTCCTGCCAGCTTGATATGCCAACAAACATGACACAAAGCGCAATGGAGAGGCCTTGAATCAGTCCTGCATGACTTGACAACAAGTGTGGCCAAATGAGAGTGTTGGCCACAACCAGTCCTCCATGTCTAGAGAACACTACCCGTAGGGAAGTGTTTGTCACTGGCGTTCCTGCTTGACATGTATACAAACAATACACAATGGGTCGGTGTGATGCTGCAAAACATACCTGCATGTCGCCACAACTCTAGTGGGTAGAACAGCAGGGGTTTCTCAACTCCGTTCCAGCATGAACCTAGAACATACAACACAGCATGGTCTTGGGTCCCTGCATAAAGGTTGCCCTGTATGGCATGAGAGCAGCCATGCCCCATACGGGGAGTTTGTGTCTGGCTCTATTACCGTATTATTGCACCTCAATTGGCATGAGAGGAGACATGCCCATACGCGTTGCATAACGACCAGGCAGCAATCAAATAATGCGTACTTACTAATCAATCGATGTATCAGAATGACTGCTCCACCGCAGACCGTTATGTACATGTTCTGTGAAGGTGGTGTTTGGTTTTACACTGTTATGTTGCATACTTGTCACTATGCTAATGGGTTAGGGGGACTCCTGTTACGAGTGCAATTGAGTGAGCGAACGAGGATTGCACTATCGGGAAAAAAGTACAACTGAGCGAAGGTATGAGCGAAAGGTTATATAGCGAAACCACAGTGGTAACGGTAATGGACTGTGGTTGTCGCGCGACGGGCATGGCACTGAGGTTGGGAAAATGTCGAGGCGAAGGTCCGGAGCGCGGGTTACCGCCGAGCCGTGAGGTCGGGGTGCGACGTGCGAAAGTGGGGGGCGGATTGTCGATGCGAGTGGTAACGGTGCTGACTGAGGTGCTACAGTGATGGACGCGTTGAGCAGGGATGCGAAGTAAGGAAAACGAGATTTTCCTTACAACTCCATAACCCCCTAATTCTATTTTTATCATTTACGTACACCACACTATTGAGGCTTTGCAAACTAATGTGCCATTACGTGCCCCGCCCTGCGCCATTCCACTCGACTCCACGCTATGCCACGTACGCGAATCTCCCTGATTTGCGAACCAGTCGCAACCACACACAAGGAACTTTTGAGTTTGCGTTTTTATCGCAGGCGTGCCGCAACGGCTTCGTGTCGACCTGTCGCATCGCTGTACGACTTGCTGCGATCGAGCGTCGCCGTTTCTCCGCAGACCCTATGTGACTCTTGACGTGCAGCTTGTGTAGGTTTGTGTGGCACGCGAGGCACTTCATTGTAAACAGTACGACAACCCGGGCAGAATAATTATGACCCTCGCAAACCCAGATACAGTAGCGCATTTGACTGTCAGGTTTAACAAAAAGAAGCCCACCCTGCCGCTTGTGGACTGATACTCAATTAAGCACGTTAGGTCCCACGGAATCTTAACACGGCAGTGCTGCATTTTTTTCCTTTATACACCTCAACCACCAGGCGATTGGTTGAGGGCGGAAAAGGAGGACCTGGCAGTCGCAACGTGCACCATAGCTGGAAACACTCAAACCCTCATCACCTCCGTGCTCCCCTTGCATGCCTCCAGCTGTGACGATCGTCTGCTCTAGGCCCCAGACTTTGCCTCGTCCCTCTCCCTCCTCAACCATTTTTTTATGCTCGTAGACTGCTGTCAGGTTCTAGGCGGTAGCACAACCCGCAACCTCATAGTACTGCGTGAATGGAAAGCTAGACATGGTAACAAGGAAGTCAGACAATGAAGGGGCCCGAGGGGGCGATCGTACTGGCTGAATCGACAAAAGCCCCCGACGAAACAAAGTTTGCGGAGTTAGTAACAGCAGATAAGACGGTCGAGCTCGTAATCGAGTATCGCAAAAATAATGCATCGACGGCGCGAGATGTTGTTGATTCCAGACGTGTCTCGTCATCCGGTGACGAATCGAATAGCGACTGCGATGTGGAGCCATACGCAAACAAGGGCATATCATCCGCTTCGAAACCAAGGGATAAGCGCGTGAAGCGCTTAGATGATCTCGTTCCCAAAGGCGGCCAGAAAGGTATGTGTTTATGGTCGCAGATGCGGAATATTCTACTTGTATGCATGAATTGATGCTTGTAGTCGTGTCTGGCCTGTTGGAGGTTATCGTCTCTCCAATTGTGTTTCCACATCAGCGATAGCGGACAAGCGTGACGACCGGGGGGGGCGTAAGCACCGTCCAAGAAAAAGAGGCACTCGTTCACATCGTGAGGAAACGCCTGCGTCTGAAGGCGACGAGGAGGGCAAAGACGGGGGACCTGACAGCTTAGGTACGCTGTGGGTGTGATATCGACGGTTTATATTTTGCACGTTACTCATAACAATGACGCCGCATGTCATGCTGCAACTTCCTGCCAATAAGATAATGTGTGCACAGTATTTCTTATGTACCTGTCATGTCCGCCTTCGCAGATGGGACGGCAGGCCAACGCGCTCGTGGTGGCGGAAAGCGCAACGGCGGCAGGGCTGCCGCGGCCAAGGGCGGTCCCTCGGGCAGGCAGTCGCAGGATGCGGATGGAGGCGACGAGGGGGATCATGCCGAGCCGGAAGCTCGTGGTGGCGGAAAGCGCACCGGCGGCAGGGCTGCCGCGACCAAGGGCGGTCCCTCGGGCTCGCATGATGCGGATGGTGGTGACGAGAAGGATCATGCCGAGCTGGAAGCTCGTGGTGGCGGCATACGCAACAGCGGCAGGGCTGCCGCGGCTAAGGGCGGTCCCACGGGCAGGCAGTCGGAGGATGCAGATGGTGGCGACGAGGGGGATCATGCCAAGCCGGAAGCTCGTGGTGGCGGCATGCGCAACGGCGGTAGGGCTGCCGCGGCCAAGGCCGGTCCCTCGGGCTCACAGGATGCGGATGGTGGCGACGAGAAGGATCATGCCGAGCCGGAAGCTCGTGGTGGCGGCATGCGCAACGGCGGCAGGGCTGCCGCGGCTAAGGGCGGTCCCACGGGCAGGCAGTCGGAGGATGCAGATGGTGGCGACGAGGGGGATCATGCCAAGCCGGAAGCTCGTGGTGGCGGCATGCGCAACGGCGGTAGGGCTGCCGCGGCCAAGGCCGGTCCCTCGGGCTCACAGGATGCGGATGGTGGCGACGAGAAGGATCATGCCGAGCCGGAAGCTCGTGGTGGCGGCATGCGCAACGGCGGCAGGGCTGCCGCGGCTAAGGGCGGTCCCTCGGGCAGGCAGTCGCAGGATGCGGATGGTGGCGACGAGAAGGATCATGCCGTGCCTGCATGCCGTGGCGTTAACGATCATGATGAGGACGAGCCAGCAGCTGTGAATGATGGGAAAGGTGGACGTGAAGCTGTGATTCCCTACCAACGGCGCAAGGCTGTGGATCCGGGCAGTTGCGACCATAAGGCGAGACAAGCTCGGCACGGCCCCAATGTGCACGTTTCGAGCTCGTCTGGTTCCGAGGAAGATTCGAGTGACAGTGAGTCGGGCAGCTCATCTGGGAGTGAGGAGGTATACGAGGACGAGGCTGAGGAGGAGGAGGACGAGGATGATGAGGAGTTGGAGCCGGAGAGCGAGGATGGGGAGGAGGCTCGGCCTTTGAAGAGGAGGAGTGTGCGGAAGCTCAAGAAGGGCAACGCTAAGCAAAAATCGGAGAGGGGACGGGTGAAGATCTGTAAACAGAGTGTGCGTCGTGCCAAACCACATGGCAAGCGCCAGAGACCTCGATTCGAAGCTAAAATAGTGGGTGTGCGTAGCAAGGCGAAGCGGGAGTTGAATTTTTACGAATCAATGGGGATACGATGTCCATCAAGCTCTCATGAACGGCAAGCCGCGGACCCGTACGCTGCGTTACGCGATCTGATGGGTTCGGCTGGGAAGGGAGATCAGATGGCTTGGGGGTCAGCGCGGTTTGGCAAAGAAGCGACGGACCCGCCCCCCAACCATATGGGGGGTCGCGCGGTTCATGTGAAGAACGAGGGGGCAACGAAGCGGCACGAACCCTCGGTAGCTGCAGCAGCGAATGACGGTGTGGGAGGAGGTGTGTGGGCGAATGCCTTGGGCGAATGTGGCGGCGGTGTGGAAGGCTCCATGTGGGATGTACGGGAGAGCAGGGGAGAAGGGGGGGACGAAAAAATGGATCCGGCGACTAAGGAGGGGAGGGGAGAGAGCATGGGCACACCTGGCGCATCCAGTCGGCCGGATGTGGCTGGCGGCAGGACTGTGGAGCAGCTCATGCGAGAGCTTGCCCAGCGGGATCGCGAAATCGCTGCACTCAAGGCAAGGCCAGGATCAAAAGGAGCTGTCAAGCCCTGCACCCCTCCATCTAGGCCTCCTCCTCTAGCATCTCTGTCGAGCGGCCCATCTATAGGGGGCCTCGATCCAGACGTGGCGCCAGAAAGCCCAGCGACGGTAGACGTACCGGTCCGTCGAACGCGTGGGATGCCCAAGCTGCTGAAGGTGAGATTGTTTTAGTGTTAAACAATGTGTGGCATGGGGCTTTGTGATAGCTGCAGCTCTCTCTCTCAACCCCTCTTGCTGCTGGTAAGCGTGTTTGTGGCATTATGCGCAGTGATAGCGGCAAGTCTGCAGTGGGATAGGCATTCCCAGTACGCCTCGCTTCAGGGACGTGGCGCTGGGCGTACGATGCTCTCACATTCTGCCCGCGACCCAGAGCTCACCATAGCAGTTATCCATCCTCATTGGCCCCTCTCTCCCATCCCTTCCCACCCTAAACCAGAGCCCCTGTTCATGGTGCTGGTGCTGGTGTGGGTGGCACGCGGCGCAAGGATAGCTCATTGTAGCAGTTATCCTTCCTATCCCTCCCCCCTCTCTCCCATCCCTCGCCTAGCTCTTCCAAAGCCCCTGTTCCTGGTGCTGGTGGTGGTGTGAGTGTCATGCGGCGGATGGATAGCTAAGAATAGCAGTTATCCTTCATCTCACTTCCCTCTCTCTCCCGTCCCTCCCCTCCCTCTGCGAGAGCCCCTGTTCCTGGTGCTGGTGGTGGTGTGGGTGTCATGCGGCGGAGGGAATAGAGGAAGCCGTATCCGTCAACCCCATGCGGCCCCCTTTCTGTCCGCCGCTCCTCCCTCCCCTCTCTATCCCGTCCCTCTCCCTCCTCGTCCAGAGCCACTGTAAAAGGTGCTGCTGGTCACGCGTGTGGCATGCGGCGTAGCGTGCAGGGGGGTGGCTGCAGTGGAAGTTGAGACTCCTCGTACGAGGAGAACATGAACCCTCGCGCTGGGCGTACGTTGCCCTCTCACTCTGCCTACTCTCCCGTCTTTCGCTCTGACTATTTAATCCCCTCTCTCTCCACTCTCACTCGTGCATCGCTCCCCTTCCTCAACCAGAGCTCCTGTTCATGGTGCTGGTGGTGGGGTGGGTGTCATGCGGCGGAGTGATCGCTCACCATAGCAGCTATCCTTCCTCTCCCTGCACCCTCTCTCCCATCCCTCCACCACCTCTTCCAGAGCCCATGTTCATGGTGCTGTTGTTGGTATGCGAGCCATGCGGCGCAGTGATGGCAACAGCCCTCTCTCTCAACCTCTGAATTCCGCCCTTCATTCGGAGGCATCACTCAATTTTACGTTTCCAATCCACCCGTCCGTCATAGGTTCATTTCGCCGTGGGGCGGGACCGGATGTGCCTAGAATGGCCAGACGTTGCCATAGACTTCTACCCAACGCTCGAACAGCGCCTTCAGGTTCTGTATCAGGTTATCAGCGAGACGCACATAATTAAGCTGATGCAGCTGCGAGAGGCTATGGAAGACAAAAACATCGTCGACGGCTTCAAACACGCTTGGACGTCATGGAAGAACGATCGTGGCTTCCACCTCAAGCGCAGAGTGCTTGTAACTTTCGGCAAGAATGTGCAAGGCCTGCGTGCAGCCGATCTCTGGATGGGCACCAAGAAGAAGAAGAAGATGTGGAGAAAATACCAACCGAGTGAGTACGCGCGTTTCTGTTTTACTTCACCATTCATTTCATCTGCTCGTGCACCCCTCGTGACGATGATGAACAACTTACCCTAATGCATCCCCACTGTGGCACGCAACTACATACCTGCTCTCCTTGCCCAGCCTTGTAGCGCATGTGCAGTCACATCCGCATGACAGCTTAACGTTGGTTCTTCTCCCACTGTCCCCTTCTCCCGCCCCCCCTTTAATCTACACCTCTCCCCTTCCCTCCCGCCATCCCGTTCTCTCCCTCCCTCCATTTCTCTTCAGCCATCCCCTTCTATCCCGCCCTCCATGTCTCTCCTGCCCTCCCCCTCTCCCCTGCCCTCCCCTTCTCTCCTGCCCTCCCCTTCTCTCCCGCCCTTCCCTGCTCTACTGCCCTCCAGCCAACCCTCCATTCATTCTATACCGCCCTCCACTTCGTCCATACCCTTTGGACAACCCCTAAACCAGGTCGTGCATGATCTTCGTCCCCGCCTTGTCCTGCGTGCGCGCAGGAGGGAATCAGCGGGTCAGCTCGTGGGGAAACAGCAGAGACGGGCTCCCGTTTGCCAACGGCCGGTTTGTAGATGCGGTCCGGGAAGCATTTCGGAATCTCTGTGTCGGGCGCCGGGTGTGCGTCAAAGCCTACCACATTGCCTGGTCAATCATGGTGGTAAGGCATTATTGCTCTCCCGTCAGTTCGCTCTAGCTTTGCTTGCAATTCTTGCCCGCCAGACTGGAATGTGGGGCTATTTGCGCAGCCCGTGAACACTACACGCGAGTGTCCACATATGTCTCTATTTCCCCTCTTTCCCATACTTTGCTACGCTTTTTCAGATTGACCAGGGCTTGGCAAAGGTTAAGAAGACCGACTGGAACGTCTCGAACTCCCACCGCAAGAACACCGAGTGGATGACGGGTTTGCACCGAAATGTGCGGTGGATTATCAAGGACCACTTCACACGCCACACCCCCGTGTACAACACAGTCGTGCAGGGCTTCAAGTGGGGCAACCGTGGCCTGTATGTTCACGAGTCAGGATTTGAGGCGTTCAAGGGGAAGGCCGTGCCTGACGAAGAGAAGAAGGACTTGAAGGAGGAAGAGCAGGAGGTGTACGACGCGGAGGACTTGAAGACGGATGACGAGGAGGATGACGAGGATCAGGAGGAGGAGGAGGAGGAGGAGGAGGAGGAGGAGGAGGAGGAGGAGGAGGAGGAGGAGGAGGAGGAGGAGGAGGATGAGGAGGAGGAGGAACAGTGGGGGCAGGAGCGGAGGAAGAGCAAAAGGCACAAGAGATGCAAAAGCAGGGGAGGCAAGAGGGATGAGCAAGAGGATGAGGATGAGGAAGAGGAGGAGGAGGATGTGGAACGGGGGGGGGGGGGGCGGGAGCTTAGGAAGGGCAGAAGGCAGAAGAGAGGAAAAATCAGAGGAAGCAGGGGGGAAGAGGAAGAGGATGAGGAGGAGGAGGAGGGGGAGCAGGCGGATGAAAATCATAGGGGGCAGGAGAGGAGGAAGTGCAGAAAGCACAAAAGAGGCGGAGGCAAGGGAAGCAGGAGGGAAGAGGAAGAGGAGGAAGAAGTGGAAGAGGAAGAGGATGAGGATGAGGATGAGAAGGGGGGGGGCCAGGAGCGAGGGAGGGGCAAAAGGTGTTTTTTGGATTCAAAAGGTGCGTTTTTGGGAGTCAAAAGGTGCGTTCCTGGGAGTCAAAAAATGCGTTTCTAGGAGTAAAAAAATGCGTTCCTGGGAATGGGAAGTGCTGGGGATGGACATGGAGGAGGATGGGGGGGGGGGGGGGGGGGGGGGGGGGAACCGAGGGGGCGACGTGTTTAGCAGCACGAAGGTATATGGTGTATTAGTAGGGGAGCATTGGGGGCTGAACGACGGATAGTCCCACGGGGGCCGGGGGAGGGGCATGGGTGGATAAGTGGGAAAGCATGTGGGGCAAGACGGAATGTGAAGGGTGGCAGCTAGTGGAAGGAGCGATGGGTGGACAAGAACGCGAGCATGTAGATGCAAAACGGGATGTCAAGGGGGGCAGCGGGAGAGGCATTTCATGGGTGGACATGATGGTGAGCACGTGGATGCTAGAAGGGATGTCTAGGGGGGCAGCGGGAGGAAGGGAAGAGGCAGGGTCTAAACAAAAACACGAGGTGATAGAGGGTTTCATGCGGCAGGAGCAGGCGAGGAACATTGGTGGGCAAGATCGGCCTTAGGTCGTACACAGGCTCACCTCCTTCATAGCTGTCTCGTATGTTTTGTCCCCGCCGGAGGCTCGAGACAGCTGTCGAACAACGGCTTGCTCGATATGCTTCTTCACAATGCGATCCTCCACACCCTTCCAGTTGGTGCCGCGAGAAGGGCGCTTCACTGTTGTCTTGTGGGACTGCTCGTACCGGTTCGACGAGTACTCCTGTGGCAATCCCCGTGCACGGATCGTCGGCGGGAGGTGCGATACAAGATGCACCTTGATAATAAGCCACTTCGACTTCTGGTTGTCGAATGCTAGAACAAGCGCATCGACCATCCTGGATAGGACGTGTTTGGGTGGATTGAAAGGTTCGGGATTGGGGCATTGGGTGTTGGGGATCGGTGTAGCGTGCGTAAGCATATAAACAACAATTCAGCCACAAACAACAGACAATGCCCAATACCCGGGTTCATGTACTACCCTCTCTCAAACCCTCCCCCCTCCTCTCATCTTCCCCCCCCCCCCCCCAGCCACTCACAACTCAGCTTCCATGTTTCTGCCACTCCATTCCCCCACTCTAAGCCCCTCCTCTCGTCATTATGCCCCTCCTTCCCTTTTTCAGCGCATGCGGAACAGTCCACAGCCCATCGTTCCCCCCCCCCCTCCCCTCTTTCCCTCCCTCGTCCCCTTTCCCTCCCTCGTCCCCTCTTTCCCTCCCTCGTCCCCTCTTTCCCTCCCTCGTCCCCTCTTTCCCTCGCTTTGCCCCCCTTTCCTTATCTTTTCCCTTCTTCCCCCGTTCTATGCACCCTATTTCCCACACACTGCCTCTTAATCCCTCCCTCGACCCCTTCAGCCATCTCACTGTCCCTCGTTCCCTATGCGCATGGCACCCACACCCATTCACGCTAGACTTACTCGCAGGAGACCTCCTCCATGCGCTCAAGCGTGGCATCGGTGTGATACTCAGCCCGGATAAACTCCTTGTACCAGTCCGACATGATCGTAATGGCATGTCGAATATCGGCGCGCTTGGGGAGGTCGATGATGAGGGGCAGCACTTGCATCATGGCACGGTGCTCCGACGCTGAGAAGCAGGCCGTCGTGGTGAAGTACGCCCATGCGGATGGGAGCCTCAGCAAAGACGCCGGAGTCGCTGCCTTGATAATCTTGTAGCGGCTGCACTTACGGGATGCAATAAGGGTATCGGTTTAGGGGTCGTGGGGCCGGTGGGGTGGGTTAGGGAGGGGGGCGGGGGAGGGGTGGGGCTAGCGGGGTGGTCTTGTAGTTAGGTGCATCAGATCGCACCTCATCTCCCCGCCTACTCTTTCTCAGTGAATCCCTTTCTGTCCTCTGCCCCACTCCCCCAGCCTCTATGCCTCATCATTCCTCTCTCTGCCCCTTGTTCCCTCGCTCTGCCCCATGATCACCTCTCTCCGCCCCTCGTTCTCTCTCTCTCTGCCCCAATTTCCCTTCCTCGGTCCCAATTTCTTTCTCCATGCCCCCAATTTCCTCACTCTGCCCCACTTGCCCTCTCCCAGCCGCAATCTCCCTTACTCTCTGCCCAAATTTACCCCTACATTACCCCCATGTGGTCCCTATGCCCCGAATACACTATTCTGAATCCTGCGTTCACCTCACGCGACCTCCCCCCCCCCCCCCCCCCCCCCCCCTCCTATGCCCCTCCTTCCCGCTAGCAGCCCCACCTTCCTGCTCGCAGCGCCTCCTTCCACCTTTCAGCCCCTCCCTCAACGTCTCTGTCCCAAATTCCCTCTTTCTGCACCACTTCCCCCCTCTCCACCCCGCATTCCTCCAACGCTGCTACAAATTCCCTCACTCTTCCCTCCATTCCTCCTTATGTGCGTATCGTTCCCTCTCAACCCCGCAGTACCTCCTTAGCTCTGTCTCTTTCCCTCTCTCTACCTGCCATTCCTCCTTTGCCGCTTACTTTCTCAGGCGCCGTATTCCGCCATTCCCGCTCGATACCCCAACGTCCCTCTCTCTGCCCCTCCTACCCTCTCTCGACCCCGCATTCCCTATCTCTGCCCCGCCCTCCCTAACTCTCTTTGCCCCACTGTCCCCCTCCATTCCCCTCCTTACCTCTCTCCGTCCCTAGTTCCCACTTCACTCGCCGCGTGCTCTCACTCTGGCTCGCAATCACTTCTCTCTGCATCTCCTACCTTCTCTCTGCCCCGTAGTCGTTTATAGCTGCCCCCCTTCAATCCACCTCCCCGTCCTTCCCTCAGTCAGCCACAACATACGTCTCTCTGACCATCTTCCCCACTCTCTGCCCCAATATCCCTCTCTCTTACTGCAACCTTCCCTCTCGCTGCCCCTCTTCCCCTCTCTATCCCTCTGGTTCCCCCCCGATGCCCCTTTCCATTGCACGTATGACTCTCGCCCCACCGGGGGAAAAGGGAAACTTACTCGAGAAGTATTTTTCGCTCTGACGGTTTCAACTTCTTCACGAGGCACCTCATTGCATGAAGCCAAAGCCCTGCCTCGATGATGTGCATAATGTCAGGTGTTTGGGCGAGGTACGTGTTGCCCCACTTTGTTTTGGAGAACTCCCAATCCCACAGCAATGACTGACCGCAAGGGGAGGCACGCGGAACGGAAAAGAGGGCGCCTTGGGGATTAGGGTGAAGAATAGGGAAAAGAACGACCAGGGTGGGATTGTGTGCCAGGAACTAGGATGGGCGGGGTATGGGGAGGGTATGTGTGTGAGCTGGACGGACAGCAAGGATAGGGTGGGGGTTTAGGGATTTGATGAACGAGGGCAGGATCATGTGAGGTGTGGGAGCGTGCCTGTCCAAGGGTGGAACATGGCGAGGTGTCCACCTCCAACACAAGGAGGAGGTGGCGACAAAAGTTGAGGTGGAGGCATGGGTGTGTTGAGCGTGGGGTTGACAAATGGGCAGTGCGGACGGGATAATTTATTTTGGACCCAAGTGCGGTGGGAGGATATAGGGGTGGGACTTCGGGACCACGGAGCCTAATCAACTTAAGCGGACAAGAAGTGATACCTTCACAAAGTGGGTTGAATACTTCTTCTTTAGAAGGGTCAATTCCTTCATGGTTTCTGCTTCCTCCATTAGCTTGTACACGGCTTTCTGATCTTTCACGGTTCGAGGAACGCTCTCGTCATCCACGTCCCGAAGATTGTCTCTCGTAACCATGCAGATGGAGCACGGTCGGTACGAGCTACATGACATGGTGCACGAGACCTTGTTGGACTCGGGATGGTCGTTCACGACTGAGTACAGCAGCGGGATGGCCACGTACTCAACCCCATTGCTGTCCTCGACCTTCAAGCCCCCTCTCCGCAACCAAACATGGAAGCATGCCATGAATGGTGGTTATCGGCGAGGAAAACAGCGGGTAACAGGATGGAAGCAATGTTGCAGGGGGGTGTGCGTTACAAGAACGAAATGAGTGGGAAATGGATGAGTGAATACTAACCAAACACATCGAGAGTGGCAGCAAGTCAAATATGCACACCATCACAAAATACATGGCAAGGACATGTCACAAAGGTATGATGCACAAAACTACGAGATGTTCATACGATTGATGGTGATGTGTTTAAGGGCTGCGTACCCCCGGAGCTTGGACAGGCGTTTCAGAGGCTGTAGCATGTATTCCGCCGCCAGCTCAAACACCCTAATCTTCTCCTCCGGCTTCAGGTCGGAGGGGATGTTAGGGAACAGGCCCACAAGCTCAGTGCCGCCGTCCAACCAACGCGCCCATTCCGGTGTGTTACCGAACGACAGTACGTAAGGGTGTGCCGATTGTCTGCCGCTGTTGGACAAGTTCGTTTGGTCCGAATAGAGAATGATCGCCAAGACGATTGCACCGATTTTACGGACGCGGTCCTGTCAAGTGTGCGATGATGTAATATGGTTAGGTGAAAGAGGGCGAAGGGGGAATAGCACGGTCACAAGAAAGGGGGTACAGGGCGGGGATCAAAGTGTATGTCAAGGGTTAGAAAACGATTAAAGGGAGGTGAGCAAAGGTCGTTGGGCAGAACACAGAAGAACGGCCGTTGTGAGCAACACTAGGGGAGCTCAGTGGTTCAAAACGCGGAGATTCGGGAGCTTTCGAATTGAGAATAGAGAGGAAAGGGCGGGTGAACAGACAGTTAAGGTCGGGATATCAGAGAGCAATGGGCGAGAGAGCATAGAGAAACGGGCGGGAGAGCAGAGAGCCCTAGGCGGTAGAGATAGCACCAACAACCGGGAGGGCATTGAGCAACGGGCGTGAGTGACCAATGACAAAGGACATCGAGCTTTGGATGATCACTAACCCAGGCCTTCAGCATCCAGTCCGTGTTGTCGGGAGTGCTATAGCGTCTTTCACCCTCCACCTTCCACTCCTTCGGCTCGATGATGAATCCGCGTACAGCGGGCATCTTTTTGAACATCGCTTGCGCCAACTGCAGAGTGGGGTGGGGGTTGTTGTATTGGTGAGTAGTGGACGCAGCCATTTGATGAGTGGTTGACTAAGGTTAGTGACTCTTGAGGGGCGCAGCAGAGAT